AAACACTAATTTTGAAATGAGTAAATTAATTATATTAATGGCGACTCTCAAATTTGGTAGTACCTACGTGGACACGAATGTCCTACACGCTAAGGTCGTAGTTCCTAGCTAAGATAGGTTTGTCACAAACTCACATCCATCTCCCAACTTGCTTAGCCCTAATCTCTATCTTGTACGACTAGTACTTCAATTATTGGACTCATTTAATTAACTCCAATATAATATGGGTGGATTAATTATTATATTATAATATGAGTATTATATTTTGGAATTAGCTAGATTTTGCTACTTGTAACTTAAAATGTATTTAGGCATCTGATTTCATTTCATATTAGGACAAATATAATTAATCTTATCCATATATTATTGATTATGTAAATTTACCAAAATTGTGACTTAATACACGGAATTGAATAACTAAGGGAGTAGAAAAAGTGACGATGCAAATATATGCTTTTGTATATCAAGAATGCGACCCCTTAACCAAGCTAGCTTGTAGAGATTATTTTTATAGAGATCATATTATATCAATCAGTTTTATGATATACTTTCTATATTCCTAAAAACATGAGGAGTTTTGATATTTAATTAATTAATTAAAGGACTTAAGAGGAATGCGTTTTGATGTTGAGCTTTTTAAATTATTGTTGGATATGATAGATAAAAATAGAAATTGATGAATAGATTAATAATGAATAAATGCGATGTGATAGGTAGAATAAGAATTAGTAGGGGTAAAAGTGAATTTTTAATAGATATGAGAAAAGTCTTTGGAATGGATAAAAAAGAAAGAAAGATTTTCAGAGACGGAGAGAGTATAATTTAATGCGTATGTAACTATGTATATGATACTCATTTGACGCGTATCAATATTTATTATTTCATAGAATTTATACTCTCTCGATCCGTTCAAAATCAATTTTCACATTCACTGTCACATGGTCAAACTTTATTCATTTGTTGGTCTATTTTCGATGCTCATTTATTCTAGTTTTGTAGATCTTTTGATGTAGTCTTTAAATTGTAATTTTTTTTCTAATTTAATGTTTTTTAATTTTATACGGAGTATAAACTAATTTAAAAATAAATTCAATAGATTATTGTAACGTGTAAAGAAAAGAATAATTTTGGACGGAGGAATATCATCTGAAATATAGTAATGAGTGAAGTTTTTTTTTGATGAAAAAAGCAAAATCAAAATGAGGTGGGGAAAGAGTTGGTTGAGGACTTGAGGTGTTATTGGGTATTTGGGTCGTCGTCACGCAAGTTGCCTCCTAATAATTCACTCCAAAAGGTCAAAACAAAGTCCATCCACTTTCCACGGTTATCTTCGTCAAATGGACTTTGAGTTTTTCCATTCACACTCTTTTTATTACTATCTCCGTCCCATTTTATAACGCCTGTTTCGGTTTAAGATGTTTGACTGAAATTATTTTCAAACCATTTTATATGAAAAATGGTATAGAATTAAAAAATAAAAATTACATATTAAAAAACTACATCAAAAGATCTACAAAACTAGTAGTGACAATAATATTTTATTTTATCAAATTGCTAACGAAAATAGAGAAAGAAAGTGAATGAAGTTTGACCCTGTGAATAGTAAACAGGCATTATAATTTGGAACGGAGGGAGTATTTGTTTTTGTTTATGTTTTTTTTGGGCACTCTTTTTGTGATTGTTATTGTTTTTATATTACTCATATATAACTTCTAAGTACTCCCTCCGTCCCTAAATAAAGTTCTGTTTTTGACTTTTTGAGGATTTAAGGGATGTATATTTTTGTGTTGACTTTCCAAAAATACCCTTGATGTGATGTGTAAAAGTAAGATGTGATAGGTAGATTATTAGTAAAAAGGTATGATGTGATAGGTAGGGTATGAAAAAATAAGGGGCAAAAGAGGTTTTTTAAGGGAAAAAAGAAGTTTATTTAGGGACAAAGAAAAAACGAAAGAGGAACTTTATTTAGGGACGGAGGAAGTATTAATTTTAATACACACATATGGTAGGTGTTTTTTCACGAGTACAACACAAACTGCGGAGCACTTTCTTTATTTAAAATCAATTATTCACTTTCTTATTTTTAATATAATTCGTCTAAAGTTTTGTTAAATTTGATGTTTTGTGTGTACTTTCCCAAATTATCTCTGTTGTGATGGATAAAAGTTGGTGAAAAAGATTTAAGTATGAGTAAAGTATTAAAAATATATCAAAATAAGAGTTCCATGTTTTTATTCTTGATATAAGAGCTAAAATGTATTTACATTACCAATTATGATCATGTACATTACCCGAAAGTATAGTAATATGTACATGTACAATGCCACATTACTAGAGTGTGAAGTCCTATTTAGAAAATAAAAACATGATGAAACTCATATTTTGATAGTTTCTCTATGTTTTACTCCTATTTAGAATGATTTCCTTAAAAGTTGAATGTGATTGGTGTAATATTTGTTTCCACGCTCTTAAAAAATTGTGTAAAATCTCAATTCTTTTAAAATTATTTTATCTACAAATCGGTATAAAGATAAAAAGTACTCCGTACAAATTACTCAATATATGTTTAAGATATACATAAAAAAATTTTACAAAATAGGATACGATAAGAATATTTCTTTTAAGTTTTATCAAATGATCTAAGAAAATATATGAATAACTGAAATTATTGAGAGATATATTCAAAAAGTAGAAGCGTAAATCATCTTGAGAGAGAAGAAGTAATTCAAATAAAAATTAATGTTAGATTGACCATTTTATTGAATTATTATTAACCAGCTACAATTCTAAATTGGATACCACACATACACAACTTGGAAGTTGAAAATAGGTTATGGATTCTTCTTTCTTTTTTCTTCAAACATTTAAGAGCTATCTTGTTTTATTTTGTTAACGTTTTCTAATTCAAATTAATTAGTCACTTTAACGTATCGAGGAATTTTAATCATGACCATTTTTGTTTTGGGGAATCAATCATGACAATTAGGCACCCTAGTATTTTTTGTTTAAAATGACATTCTATGATTCAAAATTCGAATAAATAATAATCTAATCACACCTACTATCAAATTTACTTATAAAGCATTAAATACTTCTTTCAATTAAAAAAAAGATAACACTTAGTATCAATTTTTTAATTTTATTACTTAGTATCAGTTTTTAATTTTATTATTTAATACGGGGTAATTAAACAAATTATTATGATAATATAGTCCTGTGTGTGTGGGTTCTCTCGTAGTTTGGTACTTTATATCCTCTGATTATGATATTTGATGTGTAACAATAAATTATGACTTGGAATTTAATTATTCAATGCCATGGAGTTTAATTACATCATATACTTTATATCCTCAAGTGTCTGATTTTCACAACAATTATTTTGAGACGGATGGAGTATAATTAACTAAAATTCATATGATCAGCTTAAGTTTTGTATTTTGTGGTCGCTCTCTTTTGAGTTGCCACAAATGATATAGTCTCAATTGAAATACTTATAGTGCTTAATTTGTAAAATTGATAGTTCATACTCATCGTGTTCTTCGATAAACTGTCCATCAAGTCTTGACCCCAACATATTTCTCCACCCACGTCAATTGTACCCTGCAAGCTTAGTTGGCTTTGAGGTCAAACTTGTAAATTCAAAGTCAACTAAACTTGCGGTGTGCAATTGACGTGGGTAGAATGATGGGTTTTGGTCGACATTGAGTGGAGAATTTACCAGGAAGAGGAGTTAGGGAAAATATTAGTTATCAATTTTACGAACGAACACCGTAAATACTAAATATTCCATGTGCTCTGCGATCAATCAAAGAGCGTGGTCGTAGAATTGGCCCGAACTTATAGTGTTCCAAAGTCCGGCTCCCTTATTCTATTTGACTCACCTTCCAATACTAGGCCCATCTATAAGGGATTGGGCTCTTCGTACATAATGAATGGGCCCAGCCTTAATGTATTGGACATATCTTCCTTTACTGGCCCTGCCTTAGTCTACTGGGCTTGCTTGTGATGTCTGTCTTGCGAGAGTGTCCGAACTCCGGTTCGACCTTGAAAAGTTATGACTATGATGGAATGTAATACACCTTCTATTATAAATTTTCTTAGTTAAACTTTTTACAAATTTTCAAAAAAACAAAAAAAAAGAAAAAATTAAAACATGTGTGACTTAGGGCTTGATCCTGCTGGCATTCTTGCAAAATTAAGTGCATATTCATGACAAAATTGGACACAATCATGATAACAAAAAATCATCATATACTGGAAAATTATTCGTTAACATGTTTTAAGAATTTCAAGTTGAAATTCATTTCAAAATTAAGGCTATGCAGTGTGGGGAATGAGATAAGCCGTGATGGTTGATTTGGCAGGCACGTCGGCACGTGATGGAGAGGGAATGTCGTCCCCCTCCCTGTGCGCATGATGCACGTGATGGCTATTATCTTTTAGACATTATTAAATACTATTTAGAGAATAAAAAAGTTTGAATATAACATTAAGAAACGACTTATATTTTGCTGCTAATTAGTGTAAACATTTATAAAAAGATTTTATTACTTTTAAAATAAGTGAAATTTACTTAAATAATACTAAAACAAAATAATTTTCTGTAAATAGTATCACATGTATTTTTTTCTCAATATAGCATTTTTAGTCATTATCCAAAAGTGATTATTTAAGTAAATATTCACCAGACATTATAGACATTATTAAGTGTTATTTTAATGTTTTTTAGTATAAATATTTTAAATTAAAAACTAATGTGAGATACTGATAAGACTTGATGGGAGAAGTGCGATTATATTCTCATCATTAGAGATAGTCTTACATAGTGCCTTATGATTAGAACAAGAACAACAAGAGGGATCCATTTTTTCATTCAAGAACAATTTCTTTATTGGATATTGATAATTGATTTCAAATTTCTTTATTACTATTACTATTATTATTATGAAATATTTCCTCCTTGTTGCAGAGTATTTGTTCATTTTAACGTTTGGGAGGAACTATTATTATAAAATTTATTTATAATCGGAAAATGTTTGAAGAACTAGGTTAGTTCACTGTCTGCTCGGCGCCGGCATTGCCACTATTTATTCACCATGGTGGCCGTGAAATACCAGGACACGATGTCGTGGGTGGCGCCGTACTTTCCGGTGGCGGCAGAGAGGCCGACTTGGACCTGCTTGGGAAGAAAGCCGCTCAAGTCGTACTCGTAGCTGACCTCGAACTTCTCCGACCCGGCGGAGACCCGAACCGTGATCGTCTTCGTGGCCCCCACGTAGTTGATCCGGGCACTCACCCGCCGCCCGACTATGGCGTCCCCCGCCTCCGTCGCGTTGCGGGATGCCCGGGACCCGATGTCAATGCCGACGTGGCGGTAGTTCGGGTCCCACTCACTGTTCACGTAGGTGTCGAACTCGACGGCGAAGAGCGAGGGGCTGGTGCCGTCGGAGCCGAAGATTCCGAGGCTGGCGCCGCCGGAGCCAGAGGGGATGGTGGACCCCACGGGGGCGATGAAGAAGGCGAGGCCGTCGGCGACGGTTTTGGCACCCTCGGGGGTGATGATGAAGTTGATGGTGGTTTCGAAGTCGGCCTGCCCGCCGCCGGTTTGCGAGAACTGGACCGGGTTTGTGTGCAAGACTCGGCCGGTGACGCCGGGCCGGGCGTCTGTGAGGCGGAGGTAGGTGGTTTCCGACGGGAGTCCGGCGGATCCTTGGTATGTTAGGCCCGTCGGCTTGCCGCCGTTGAAGTCGTAGGTGAAGGAGGTTGTTTGCGACTGAGCCGCCGTGCTTGCGGCGGCGAGTAGGATGGCAATGGAGACTAGAGTTTGGAGAAGCTTGGCCATTATGGTCATGTAATAATAATTATAATAATAATTGACTACTTAATTTATAGTAGAGAAATTTATCTAAATTGGACTAAAATATAATGACTTTTCCAATATGGAACTATTTGTTTTTATTTCCCAATGTAGGAGTTTTGGTCATTAACAAGTAATCATTATTCAACTAAATGTCTAGCATTATTGGACATTATTCCTCCCACAAGGTCATTATTTAGTCTTATTTAAGGAATAAAAAAGTTTAAGTCCTACATTAAAAAAGTCATTATGTTTTAGTTCTATTTAGTGCAAATTTCACTTTATAGTATTGTGTTTTGAGGGTAGTGGATGATGGTGATTGCCGGCGCAGTCTCTCTTTTGTAAACTTTGACCTAGATGAATGGTAAAATATACTACGTATTCTTTTGATATAAATATTTTATTAATAGTTTTTTTGAAATGTAATTTTTCAAGGTCAAATAACTTTAGTGTCTCTTGTAGTTTAGACAATTGTTATCTATACCTCACTATTTTAAAAACTTATTTCTTAAATTTCTTTGCTTTGAAAATATTGCACCCATACTTTATCTAATCATTTTCTGATCATCTTTCAGTGAAGAGAGGTATTAGTGCCTATTTTTTGTTTATTATTTGGGTTTTTATTGAAAAAAGAGGTGTGTATTCAATATAGAGTTTTGGATTTTTTTTTGTATTGTAAAATTCCGTGGGTATTCAATTAGGAATTTAAAAAACTACTCGTATTTAAAGTCTTTGTGTATTCAACTAGGAATTTAAAATGTCCGTCTAAGTCTAAATGGTATTCAAAATTTTGCGGATTTTCAAAGAGTTTCATTGCATAAATGATGGATTGCGATGGATTCTTAAGTGCCTCGTGTAAATAGAAATCTGGGAACAAATCTTCTGTCAACGTATGGTCGCTGCTGGTGCAAGGTTGGCCGGACAAAATGGATGAAATATAATGGGGGAATTTACGTAAATGACACTAAAACATAATGACTTTTTCTAAATAGCATCATATGTGTTTTTTTCTCAATGTAACACTTTTAGTCATTATCCATTAGTCATTATTCAAGTAAATATTTGCCATCACTGAACATTATTAAGTGCTATTTAGATAAATAACTTAAATTTTAGTGCTATTTAATGCAAATATTTCAAATTATAATTAGGGTTTTTGCTCTGTGTTTATTAGAGAATTTGGGAAGCCGGTCCATTTTGATTTGTGGTCTCCATTTTTTTTATTTGTTTATTTGTATTTTTTAATAGAAAATCAAACTTAACGAAAAAAATATGTTCTTTGTTTATTTCTATGATAAATCGTAAGAGATTATTTTTAATCGGGTAGAACAAAATATTAGCCAATTTTGTAATCATTTTTTATTTTAATTAGAACAATCTATGGACATTTTAGAATCTAAATAAATCGGGATAATAAGATACTTTAAAATCTATCTAAGTCTATACAAAATTATAATAATCCACGAAGATTACGTAATCCATTGATTCTAAAAAAAATTAGATATAATCTTTTATATCTAAATTGAATACACCCCTTAAAAAAAGTAAATTGAAAAAGTTGCTCGCCTATGGAATGGAAGGCATTGTGGAACGGACAAGCCAAGCATGTGAAATTTGGTTTGCAACTTATGAGGGTGTTTGGGAGTGATTAACTTATAGATAAAGACAATAAAGTAATATCCACAAAAGCTGAAAGCAGAAGCACCTCCTACCTGCTTCTCTGATACTGTGTTCTATGTACAAAATAGTGGTGGTGAAAAGCAAAAGCTGACATGCCAAACAGTGTAAAATTACTTATACTCAAAGCAGAAGCTAAATGATTAAAAGCAGCACACTTCCAAACACCCTCTATGTGCCAAGTTAAGGCGTGGCAGACATTTGCCTCGCCACTTAGGTTATTTTGGACAAGGAGATCATCATTCAGTTCACTATTTACATCCTAAAATAATTTAACTCTTTACTATTATGATTTATCAACAACTTATTTATCTGCATGTTTTTATTGATCATTTGATAAAATAAAATATTTTTGTCATCTCTTGTTTCGTAGAATTTTTATGTAATTTTTAAAAATATAATTTTTCACGAGTATGTTTTACTTTTATGCCAATTCATAAATAAAATCACTTCAACAGTCACGAAATGTTAACGTTAAACAGAGAATGAAATTCGTTTAGGATCCGTTTGGTACACGGAATTGACGGAATTGGAATTGAGATAGGAGTTGAAATTCTATGGAATTGATTTGGCTGGATTTGAATCCTCCAGTTCGAATTCATTTTTGGCTCTACGATTTCCAAATCCACATATTTTTGTGCTACCAAACAGTAGAAGTGGAATTATTGTCCCCAATTTCAATTTCATAATTTGAATCCCGTGTACCAAACGGAACATTATGGTCGAAGAATGTGTCATTAATGTATAGTCTAACGTCAGACATTGCACAAGCATATATGTATATTCAAAAAATTATTATTCACAAGTCAAACTAATTCTAATTTTTTAAAAACATTTTCATCGATTATTTGATAAAATAAAATAACCTTGTCACGCTTGTTTTTTTGTACATTTTTCATCGATTATTTGCTAATATATAATTTTATTTTTTAAATTTATACTATTTTTACTAATATTAATTTAAAAATAAGATAAGCAGTGTAAATAAAACAAGATTCTTATTTTGTGAGAGGGGGTATTGTAAATGAGAAATAGGTCGACTCTTATGTGATTCCATTGGCTGCTTCTTGGCATTGAATGGAAAGACCAAATTAAACCGGCCTCCAAATTGTTTGGTGCACTCTTACTCCAATAAAGAAATCAAATTTGAAAGGAACCAAATCTACTACCCAAATACTCCAATTGGCACATGGATTTGAAATTTCAGTGATACTTTATGTGTTGGCCTTTATTCACTTATTAATTAGAACTAATATTTAAGTGATAGATAATATATTACTCTTTTCGTTCTTGAGTATTTGTTCACTTTTGACTTTTTTCAGTTAAAATTAATAAACTTTGACTTCAAATTAAATAAAAAATGATACTGGTATTAGATATTGATACAAAAATGGTTTTATTAGATTTATTATATCAAATATTTTTAAAATGTTATCTTCTCTAATTAATATACAATATATGTTTATTTAATTATAGATCCAAGAATGAAAATGGTAGACCGAAAAGATTAGAGATGGTCTTGCATGTAATTTTGTATCCTTATCCATTCTAATATTATATTTATTCAGTAGATGAAACTTAATTGTTTTTTTAACTTATAAACAATTTATAAATCAAGTTATACGTAACCAAAATATATCATTATAAACTGAGTAGTAACTTAAAAATAAATTATAAACAGCTCTACCAAATAATATATCTGTTAGTATGCATAAAACATTAACACACAATTCCCAGTTTATAATAAAAGTGGGTCAAATTAGGCAAAGATTATTCGAAGAATTAAATTTAAGTGTTTAAGATTAGGGGTGCATTAGACTTGTCTTAGGCCCCGTTCCGTTCAACTTATTTTTTCTTATTTTTTCTTATTCTTATTAAAATCAGATCAGATCAGATAAGATCGAATCAGATCAGATCAGATCAGATTAGATCAGATCGAATCAGATCAGATCAGATCCAATCAGATCAGATCAGATCCTATCAGATCAGATCAGATCAAATCAGATCAGGACTTATTAAAATCAGATCTCATCAAGAATTATTATTATTATTATTATTATTATTATTATTATTATTATTATGATCATCATCATCATCATCATCATCATCATCATCATCATCATTATTATTATTATTATTATTATTGTTGTTGTTGTTGTTGTTGTTGTTGTTGTTGTTGTTGTTGTTCTTAAAAATGAAAAAGAATAAACTTTAGAAATAGGTTAAATAGAAAACCGAGAAAGTAATCCTTAATTATTAGACGTCGGAAAAATTAGTTTTAAAATACATTGACAATATCAATCTAATTCTACTTTTCAAATATATTTTTACTGCTACTTGTAGTTTGAGTTTCTAAACTTTTGATTTTTTATAAGGATGAGATATTTTAATAAAAATACTATCTCTTCTATATATTGATTATCTAAATTTAATTACTTTTTAATGTATAATTCTAATTTTACAAAAACATTATCATAAAATAAAAAATATTATTACATTATAATATGAATGATTATTCTAATATATGAATTAACTATTTTAATTTTATTAAAAAATAATCATTAAATAAAAAATATTGATTATATTATAATATGAATTATCATTACAATTTTCAAACGTTATTATAAAGTCAAATTAAATTATTGATTTGAAATTTTAAATTAAATCATAATTAATCAGATCAGATCAGATCAGACCAGATCAGATCAGATCAGATCCAATCAGATCCAATCAGATCAGATCATATCCAATCAGATCAGATTCAATCAGATCAGATCAGATCCAATCAGATCAGATCAAATCAGATCAGATCAGATCCAATCAGACCAGATCAGCTCAAATCAGATCCAATCAGATCAGATCAGATCAGACCAGATCAGATCAAAACTTATTAGAATCAGATCAGAAAAATTAAGTTGAACGGAACGGAGCCTTATACTTGCGACTGGGTCTAACTTAATACATTGGACTCTTCCTATACTGGGCCTTTCCTTAATCTATTGGGCCCGTCTTATAATGGGCCCTCTCTAGTCTATTGGAATATTCATATACGAGGCCCGGTGAGACTTGAATGTGTTGTCCCAAATCCTCTTTGGACCTTTGAAAATTATGTGCCTGTTTATATTACTCGTGAAATATTCTTTGATGTTTCACGATTTTAAAAATTATACTTTGATCATTAATATTTATATTTATATATAGATATGTTATATTTCATAAAAATTGATATTTCAAAATTATCGTTTCTGTCGTATCATTAAGAATACTAAACTTATAGCATAATACAATATATTTTTTCTACAAGTTGAAGTCAACTTTTATAAACATTGACCTAGAAAAATCAAATGTGAAGAACATTTTCGGACGGAGGGAGTATCAAATTATATCTTCTTTCATGATTATTTTTATTTATTTTGTATTATTTAACAAAATAAAATAGTCATATCACATCTCGTCGTATAGAACATTTGATATAACTTATTTTTAAATTTTACACAAAGTTTCATAAATTTAATTTAATATAATTTCAATCAATCTATACCAAAAGCTCGAGCAAAGTAGTCAACAGGACATTAAACTTTCTAATTTTTCCTTAATCTTTTCTTTCTCTTTCAGTTATGCCCTACGTACATCATTTGCTTCTTTGTTCTTTACTTTGCCTAACTTCAACAACTTTCCTTTGTTCTTTAATTGGGGGACACACTATATTTTCCACAAACACACTATATATTCTCCATTCTTCATTATACTCTATTGTCTAATAAACAAATTCTTATTTGGAACTATAAAAAGTCAAATGGATAACATGACAACACATATAGCAATATCAGATACAGATGAAAACAACCACCACGAAAAAATTAACGTTTGTCTAACAGTTATGGATAACCAAAATCATCATAACCACCACCACCACCACCATCACCACCACTTTGGTCCCCAACACCACCACCACTATTTCCACAACCACTCCCATAGAGAGGAGCCCCGCCCCGGCTCCGATCGCGATCATGCAAAACCAATGACTTACGCCGTGCACTGCAAGGCGAGGCCCGAGTACGCGCTCAGCACCCGAGGCGGCGCCGTCATTCTCGCGCCCGTTGACCGGTCCGACGAATGCCAGCACTGGTTCAGGGAAGACATGCTCAGCGCCCAAGTCAAGGACGAGCACGGCTTCCCCAGCTTCTCGCTGGTCAATAAGGCCACCGGGAAAGCTGTCGGACACCCCGCCGGAGCGGGCAGGCCGGTGGAGCTCGTGCCGTACGACCGCGACGGGCTTCAGCTGGATGGGTCCGTCCTCTGGACTGTGGCGGGGGAGGATGGAGACGAGTATAAAGCTATTAGGATGCAGAACAACGTCCGGCTGAACATGGATGCGCTCGGCGGCGTTAAAGAGTCCGGCGGCATCCGTGACGGCACGGTCGTCGGAGTTTGGGAATGGAACGGCGGTGACAACCAACGTTGGAGTATAGTTCCCTACGATTGAGAAATATAATGTGATATATACGGAGTAGTGTTTCACATTGTGGTAAAGTTGGATTTCTTACACCGTACCACTTAAATAATATCCAGTGACAGAAATAATATCTAGTGATGATGATCGAATACTCCGTATTAAATTTGGACAATAATGTTCAATGGCGACGAATATTTACTTAAGAAATATGGTAATGGTATATTAAAAAAATATTTACTATATTGAGAAATAGAAACATATGGTATCACATTGTGAAAGTTGTTATATTTTAATATTATTTAAGTAAATTTAAGTAAATTCTCCATCTTATAATTTGTAACTTACAACCTCTCTAGCTACCGAGTATTTATCTAGCTTTGATCATTTTAATCTTTAAACTATAATTAAATAAAATATATATTATATTTTAATTAGATAAAATAATAGTCGTCTCTCCGTCCCATAAAGTCATTCTTTTTTCAAAAAAATGCGTCCCTTAAAGTCATTCCAATTTCTATTAAAAACTTACTTTTACCCTTTACTTTTTCATACCCTACCTATCACATTATACCTTTTTCTAACAATCTACACATCACATCCTATTTTTACCCATCACATCAAGAATATTTTTGGAAAGTCAACACAAAATTATCCCTCCTTATTTTACTACTTTAGTCAAACCGTTCCTATCCTTATGGAATGAAGGGAGTATTTGAAAATATTTGATATAATAAAAGTAATAAAACTATTTTAATATTAATATTTAATACTCCCTTCATCCCACACAAAAGTTCCCATTTTGACCATAAATTGGTCAAACAGTTATCTGCTTTGACCATAAATTAAATATAATCTAAATAAAGAAATGCTAAAAAAATTTGAGATATCAAAACTAGATCGTAAGATGAATCCAATTATATTAAATTTATTTTATAATTTAATATACTTTTCTCACAATTTGTAGTTAAAGTGTATAAATATTTGACTAAATACTATTCAAAATGGAAAATTTTTTGTGGAACGGAGGGAGTATTGTTTTTATTAACTTTAGGACAAAATTTATTAATCTTAACATGTGAGAAGCGGACAAATCTTTATCTTTATATATACAATGGTATGAGGGAAGTTTCTACAATGTTCCCGCCTAAAATTCGGATATCCAATTAGAAACAGTAATGGGTCGGGTTGGTGGGCCGAGTATGGATAAATGGGCAGTAAGTCTCTGCAGTCTGCACCATGAAGTCTCACATCAAGTACAAAAGTAGGACTCTTTATGTCCAATCAGCATTAATTAAGCTCTATTCAGCGTGTATGGCACGCCCATCCATTACTGACATACGGAGTATTTGCTTTCCAGCTGGGGGCCACATCAAACAATGCAACCATTGGAGATTTGCAAATCTTTAGATTAGAGTATCAGTCATTTATTCCTAAAATAAAAGTGAAGGGCATTAACACAAATCCATCTATAAATACATTTGTTGTGAGCCAGTGTCTAGCCATTCCACAACCATAAATTTCCTTTCCCAAACTTTTTTGTGTTTCTTAGAAGTTTCTTGGCCTTTCCTTTTTGTGCAATTAATTATTGAGCCATGCCCAAAGCTGTACCCCAAATGTACATCACCCCCTTTTTCTCCATTCATTTTTATTTTATTTTTATTTATTTATTTTTTTTGAATTTCTTGCTTTTTTTTTGTGGATAAGGAGGGGTGAGGGATAAATGAGGTACACATTTGGTGTACCCCTAGCATTTTTCTTAATTATTTTATTTGATAAGTTTTACAGAGTATATACTCTATATGATTTTTTTACTCTATATACTCTTTACCATTCATTTTATTTTATTTTTATTTTTTTTTTTGAATTTTACTTGTCTTTTTGTATGGTTAGGGAGGGGGTGGGATATATATGTTTGGGGTACACTTTTGGTGTACCTGTTAGAGTACATCCCACATCGGAAATCCAAGAGTAAAATAATTGGTATATAAGCTCTAGAGTTGAACTAGCTAATCGATTGAATACCATGTTAAAATTCCGGTGGGCCGATAACAACGGATAGAGTGTCGGGTAAAATTAACCACTTGCATATAAAGTCGGGATCCACAATTCTAACCCAAAAGCTTAAGCTGATAGGCAGGGCTTCACCCTTCAATATATGCAAGTGATATTTATCTTTATTTTCTGATGTGGGAACTCTAACACTCCCCCGCAAGTGGTAACTAGCCTGGCCTTGTTAGCACTTGGACAAACGGGTCTAGCATCTCAATCTCTTATAGCTAGCCCACACAACTGGCGGTGGCATCTCAATCTCTTTTTAGCCAACTCAGCCCAAACAACATACGGGTAGCACATTTTTGCTAAACCCACAACAAACAACCAGGAACAATCAGACCCGGACCGGACCTGCTCTGATACCATGATAGAATTTGGGATGGGTATGGACAACTGGATTGGGCAATAAGACAATTGGGCTGAACTATATTAAAAGATTGAATCCAATCGATTAGCTAGTTCAACTCTAGAGCTTATATACCAATTATTTTACTCTTGGATTTTCGATGTGGGATGTACTCTAACACTCCCCCTCAAGTGGAAAACCGGGCCATTTTGAATCTAACCGGTTGACCACTTGCAAATGAAGTCCCATTCCCTTGATTTTTTTTTGAGTGCCAACACCTAAAGGACCATGAGCCGCTGGGTATGGACTTCCAGACAAGCAATCGTGTTAAACAGGCCACAGACCGTTGGGTACATACTCCATACGGACAACTGGGCTAAAGACAAACGGGCCGCTAGGAATGAACGTCTAGACGGACACCTTGACAAACGAGGTGGGCTAAAACTGGCTCTGATACCATGATAGAATTTAGGATGGGTTGGACAACTGGATTGGATAATAAAACACTTGGGTTGAACCGTATTAAAAGATTGAATCCAATCGATTATCTAGTTCAACTCTAGAGTTTATATACCAATTATTTTACTCTTGAATTTCCGATGTGGGATGTACTCTAACAATACCCCTAGCATTTTCCTTTTTATAGAGCAATGTGCAAAACCAAATACTTGGTATTAAAAAAAACATTCTAAACGTAAATGTTATAGAATATTGGAAATTGCCTTTTCTAAATACGGAGTAAGTGTTTAAATTATATCAGGAGTTAACAAAGAATGCACTTTTGACTTTCAAGAGAACATTTGATGAATCATCAAACAAAAGTAATTGGTTTGATGAATGCAATTAAGAATATTGGTTTCTAAAAGATCATTATTTATTAGAAAAGTTAAAATTAAAGGTTGTGGTTCTTGGATTTAATAATCTGGATCATCATTATTTCCACCTTTGCCCAAGTGAAAGAACAAAAAATACTACTCTCTCCGTCCCCAATTTAATTACAAATTGCGGGTTACGAAGTAAAATTTTCTACTTTTTGAAATCATTTTATTTACAAATTGGTATATCGATAAGATATAAAAATTACATATTAAAAAACTACGTCAAAAGTTCTATAAAACAAGAGGTGACAAGAATATTTTATTTTATCAAATACTTGATGAAATTGCGTAAACAAACAAAAGTTATCGAGAGGAGAGAGAAAAAAAGATTGTAATCTATTTAGGGACGGAGGGAGTATTACCATTGCCTTCCAAGGTCTTTGTATTGGATAAATAAATAAGGTTTACCTACAAAACCAGAGATATTTGCAGATACTCAAATTAAAGCATACGAGCAGGTGCAATATATAATTGAACATTGTGTGTTCTATGAAAAAGGATAGAACACATACTTTCAGGTTCAATTCCTTATTGTAAAATTTAAAATATACTCTATTAGTTCACATGTAATATAAAATATTTACTCCGTGCTAATAAAATTTTAAGAAACTTAATTTTTTTCTTTTCAATGAAAAAGCATTCTAATCTGAAAATTTTGAATGCAAAATATGCATTTGAACGGATACAAACAATTGAAGATGTTTTATGCAAAATTGTGCATTTATTAAATTAAAATTAGAAAAAGTAACAATTATTTTTTACATATTTTTAAGGAAGTTAGTGGAATAATAAAAAATGCAAGAAATCCCCAAATTCATGCATTAAGATTTGGGAAAGAGTAAAAACTCCAAACCTTATAGACCGATTAGTAGATTCAGATCGGTCTAGAAGAGCTAAACATCAACTAACTTCGGGAACAGCTAAAACATCGGGAGTAAAACTTTACTCTTTAATATATATTACGTATCGTTGTTAAAAGCAAATTTTATCTTTTACTTTTATCAATGCTTCCCCTATTTATTTAGCTTTAACTCAGGCCGTGCAACGCACGGGTTCGAGTCTAGTAGTTCTCAAGGAAGGGAGTAATTACTCTTGGGAATATGAAGTGGCCCAGCGCTGGTAATTTCACTTTATTGTAGTGTCCCTCCCTCTTCTCTTCAAATGCAAACGTAGCTTTGATCGCAAGTGACCGAAGGACTTATACATACATATATACTCCGTATATACCACTCCTCTTCCCAATTAACTTCGACTCAACCCATAATGGCAATCATCCCTCATTCCGACGCCGGCTTTCGTCAATTCTCAGACGTGGTCGCCGCCGCCGGCAACAACGACAATATCCACCACCACCACCACTACCACCACTACGAGCGCAACAACCCCCGCCCCCTCGGCGAAGACGGCACTACGTCGTCCGATACGAAGCAAACTTACCGCGTCTACTGCAAGGCAGACGCGGGCTTCTACTTGGCGGCGGACGGCGCGGTCTTCCTCGCACCCAACGACCCGTCCGACCCGCGGCAGCGCTGGGTCAAGGAAGACCGGCGCAGCGCCCTCGTCACGGACAAGGACGGGTTCCCCAGCTTCGTCCTGGTCAACAAGGCCACCGGGCAGGCGATCAAGCACCCGGACGCCGCCAGGAAGCCGGTGAAGCTGGTTCCCTACGACGACGACGGCGGAGAAGGGGGTGGTCCCGACGGATGGCTGCTGTGGACGGCGGGGGACGTGGCGGGGGACGACGGGTGCAAGGCCATCCGCGCGCAGAACAACACTTCGCTGTGCATGGACGCCCTGAAGGGGACAAAGAAGCTCGGCGGCGTGCGAGAGGGGACGGTGGTCGGAATGTGGGAACCAACGTTGGATCCTTCTTCCCCATTCATCTTCTTGAATTAATTAAATCTTAATTATCACTCATTCCGTACGTTGTTTCGTTTTGTTTGCTTGTTTTGCACTTTTGCCATCCCATAAAAATCTTTTTGAAATGTTGGGGAAATAAGCAGCTCCCAAAATAATTACGGAGTACGCCTTATTAATTTTGATTTTAGTCTTTATATATGCTCCCTCATTACTTTCAAAAAATATTGGCATAACTTTTAATTCTAATGGTCTTGAATATATACTCAGAGCCTGAGCCTCTTTGGTACACGGAATATGATTGAATTAAAAATTGAAATTTTACAGAATTGATTTTAATGGAATTGAATTCTTCAATTTCAATTCTTTTTTAGTCACTATTGATTTCAAAGCTACATATTTTGTGCTACCAAACAACACAATTGAAATGGTTGTCCTCAATTTGAATTCCATAGCTTGAATTTCGGACGTGTATTTTACGTAATGTAGAACATAAGAGTTCTTACTTGAAAATCTCTAAATATATTTTAGATAATTTAAATTTTCGAGTTCTTACTAACAAAATTGAGGATGTTTCAAAGTAATTTTTCTTAATAAATTATGTGTGATTTAATGTACGTATTAAACGTTTCATAAAATTAGTTTAACTTTCACATTTTTTTAAAGAAAATTATAGTTTAACATTCTTTTTCGCATTATCAAACTATATCTTCTTTATATTCATCATGCATTTTTATTTAATTTACACTGTTTGACAAAATAAATTAGTCATATCACTGCTCGTTGTATAAAATATTTGTGTTGTGTTTGGTTCGGTGAAAAGTATTTTCTTGAAAATATTTTCTAAAGGAAAATTATTTTTCAATTACTCCGGAGTAAAATTTTTGTTGTTGTTTGATAGGAAGCTAAGGAAATTCTTTTATTAAAAAATAGCTTCTTTTCTTAATATTTAAAAATTAAAATTTTGCACTTACCAGTCCCTCATTTTAAATTTTATAACACAAGAAAAGAATTTGAAATTTAAAATTTGATTTCTACTAGTTAAAATGAAATCAATGTATTGTTTTCAGGTTATAATTAAGAATGAAAAGACTTTGGGTGTGATTGAAAAATGAAAAATTAAAAACGAAAAAAATAAAAATTATTTAAAATATAAACCTTAAAACTAAAAATTACTACCTAAAAAATTAAAATAAAAAATTAAATTAACTGTCCCTTCATGCTTTTCACTGTCCCAATTCCTAAACAAACAATTCATATCTAGCTAAACTTTCTCTCGCTTACTCACAATTTGACTCTTCGTTCTTCGGTTTTTTTATTTCGTTTGTTCTTAATCGATCAATCCATTGATATCACTTGGCATGGCGATGAATTGGTATACATTTTGATACGGAGTATGATACTTTTATTGGAACACTACTCCAATAATTCGGTCCATTGTTCTGCTTCTCGACTTCGGCGATCTTGTTCTTTTTTTGCCGAACAGTCTCCTCCTCTTCAACGGAAGATCTGTTCAAGTTGCAGATTTTTTTTAAGGGGGAGTATCGCAATCGGGCTGCTCTTTTGTATTTGTTACTGCCCTGTGTTTTCTCTGTTGATTCTGCACATCTACTTTTGAAAAATTATACGGAATGTCTCGTCCTGTGCCCTGTGAGTGGCTTGTGGACAGTGGTGCATCTCATCATATGACAGGGGTGCTTTCGTGTTTGACTGATGTAGTGCAGCGGCCTCCTTGTACTATAAGCTTGCCCGATGGGGCTCATGTGATGGCCAACTTGTGTGGACGAGTGCAAGTCTCTCCGACTTTGGTTTTAACTGATGTTCTTTATGTGCCTAATTTAAAGTGCAACTTGATCTCTGTGAATTGTCTTGTCAACTCTCATAACTGTCATGTTTTCTTTGATGACCAATTTTGTGTGATACAGGACCGAACTTCGAAGATGCAGATTGGACGATGTGAAGTGCGCAATGGAGTTTATGTCCTTCCATCCTTCGCCCAAGCGTCCAAAGCCGAGTCTATTTCTCTTTTGCATCAGCGTCTTGGTCATCCGTCACCTCAAGTTATGTCTTTACCTCCTTTTAATAAAAGTGCAGCTGAAATTAAAAATTTTCAATCATGTGACATTTGTTTCTTTTCCAAGCAAACTCGTTCTAGTTTTCCTTCAAGTCTGAATAAAGCTGATGCCTTGTTTGATTTAATTCACTGTGATTTATGGGGCCCATATTCCCCATGTTTGTCTACTGGTTCCCATTATTTTCTTACTATTGTTGATGATTATTCTAGAGCTGTTTGGGTTTTCCTTATAATTGACAAAACAGAAGTTACTAGTTGTCTCAAACAGTTCTTCCAAATGATTCAAACCCAATTTGGGAAAGTTATAAAAGTTGTTCGTACAGATAATGGGACTGAGTTTGTGAATAAACCCTTGCGTCAATTTTACTCTTCCATGGGGGTACTTGTTCAAACCTCATGCGTTAACACCCCACAACAAAATGGGCGTGTGGAACGCAAACACAGACATATTCTTAACGTCGCACGCTCTCTAATGTTTCAGGCTTCTTTACCCATTGAATTTTGGGGTGAATGTGTGCGTACTGCTGTGTATCTTATTAATCGTACCCCCACCCCTCTTCTTCAGGGAAAATCACCATTTGAACTCCTTTCTTCAAAACCTCCAGACTTGTCTCT